CCTTCTGAGTGGCTGGAATTATAGGCATGTGCTACCACGCCCAACTGATTTTTTGATTTATTGTAGAGATGAGTTCCCGCCAACTTGCCCAGGTGGGTCTGGAACTCGTGGGCTCTGGCAATCCACTCACCTTAGCCTCCCAAAATGCGGGATTACAGGCTGAGCCACCGAGCCCAAAGACTAAAAAAGGTTTTTATAATAATTCTAAACACTCCACTCTCAGTTCATGTCACATGACAAATTTCATTCTTATCTATGCAATGATTATTATTTTCCTTTACTTTCACTGAATAGAAAAATAAATTGAGGTCTTTCTTCCAAGATCTTTCTGTGACCCATCATCTATTGTGCCTATTCTTTCCTAAGCCAAAAATACCATATATCCTCCATATTAAAAATACCAAACCATTTATGACTCAGGGCTTTTATACTTGCTCTTTTCTCCATATGAAATGCTGTCATATTATAGTATGACTTTAGTAAACTGTTCCCTTAAATATTATCTTATCAGGAAGATCTGCTCTGACTACCTTATCTACAGTAAAACTAATCTCCTCTCTCACTGTACATTTGCAATGATTTTTCTTACTATCAGCACACAATAAATGATGTTTGTATGTGCATGGTAAGAGCAAATCTCTTCATCAGATGTGTAAGTAAACACAGTAACTTTCAAAAATTATTTTCTTTTTGTTAAGCAATTTTTTTCTTTTAAAGGTGTGGGATACAATTCAGGATGAGGTATACAAGTGGTCATTGTACAGGTAAAGTCTGGGTCTCCACTTGGTCCTCACTTTGCCTGGTTTGAGATCAGGTACCCTTATTGATGTTATGTGCCCCCTGCCCCACCCTGCCCCACCGCAGTATCCCGCTACAGCTAATTCCTTTCTTACAGTATTATGGTAAATGTTCAGGGTCTGCTTATGAGTAAGAACATGTAGTACTCAGTTCTTTGTTTTTGTGCTAGATCACTGAGTATTATTTATTTTCAATATGTTGAGCTGGGATGATCGTGCATTGAGAGATCTGTTTCAGAGGTAATCAAGGACAAATAGAGGTAACTGCACAGACTCAATTAACACCCAGGACAATGTGGGTGTGGAAGTACAGAAATCCAGACCAGCTGGGAAGTTCTGGGGAGACTCATCCTAGAAATTTGCCAAGGACATTGATAGGAACCTAAAGGTATATATGTATATGGATGGTGGGGAAGGAGATGATACCTATAGCATCACAGATGTCAGAAACATAGATAAAATAGATGCCAGTCTTAGGAGAGAAGTCTCAAAGTATTAGATGAGTTTATTTGACAAATGATCATTACTGATGCTAGCAACTGGACCAAAATTAAAACACAAAGATCAATGGATGGTTGAAACCACAATAAGCTTGACATTCACCTGAACCGCCATATTAAATTAAATAATCAGTTATATATACACAAAATAGCAAATGTGATAAACACTACTAGAAAGATGTACAAGTTGTTAAGTCAAATATTGGAACAAAGGGTTATCTAAAAATTACAACTTGAAAACATAAGTTTAACTGAAGGCTGAAGAATATGAAGGAAATATAGGATGAGAAAGAGAACAAACATATTAGGTAGAAGATATAGCATATATGAATAACCTATTCATGGAAGATGCAGCATCTTCTATGAATTTTAGATTACCAGCCTGGTTGATATGTACAGAGGTTCTAGATCTTTATCGTTACATAAGCCCACAGAGACCAGAAAATATGACACTAAATTGTTGGAAGCCAGCCTTGGAGGCAAGCCTGATTGACAAAGTCCAGGTGCACTGAGGACCCCCCCGGCCGCAAAGCGAGTCCGGGCAGCTAAGGCCCTTCTGTCTTCCATCTTTGCTGTTGGTACAGCTGAAGAAATTCTGTGCAGTCGTGGAAGAAGAAGATGGCATGTTTATGTGAAGTACTCACAGCTAACCTGGAAATGTCATGGCTCATTTTCTGCAGGGCTAAATGATGTAACATTTAGGGACTTAGTTCTAAGAACAAGGAGCAATTATCAACTTTAATTATCAATTAAAGTTTTCAATATCAGTTAGCAGAGAAAGGTTTCTAAGTTGTAAAAAGACGAATGCAGTGTGGAAGTTGAAAGATCAGTTAGGATGCAGGCCTAGTTACTCAGGGAATGGATGACAACAGTTTGTAGGACAAGGTGATGAAGGAAATGAAGAGTAGATGAGAGCGAGGGGTAAACTGAGGTAAAAGGGATAGGGTTGGAAATTAGACTGAATATGAGAGAACAAAGGATTAACATTAGCTCTGTGTTCTTTCTTTCCTCCTGTAGAGATGATACTGGTTTATGCTTTCCCTAGTATTGTTTTCTTCTAGGAAACTTATTGAGTTACAATAAAGTAGAATGTCAACTGTCCTGCTAGTCCTCACTACTAATAGTAAAAATAGCCTGATATGTAAAGCACATTAGGACTGAGAAGACCAAATAGAACTTAAATTCTAGTTGGTAACAGACCATATAACCAAATATGTCTCTTTTAGGTCCCTGGAAACTGTGTTTTAATGAGCTTTAACAAGATTATCAGTCCTTTGGAACACTAGGCTTACATAACCTGTGACAGTTTCACGTGCACTCAGCTAGTCTGATTGCTTTCTTTTTGGGGGGGGCGGGGTTGGAATCTCACTCTGTGACCCAGGCTTCTGCCTCAGCCTTCCGCCTCAGCCATCCAAGTAGCTGGAACTACAGGCACGCATCACCATGTCTGGCTAATTTTTTGATTTACTGTAGAGATGAGGTCTTGCCAAGTTGCCCAGGCTGGTCTCAAACCCGTGGGCTCAGGCAATCCTCTTGCCTCAGCCTCCCAAAGTGCTGGGATCATAAGCATGAGCTACCACACCTGGCCCTAGCCTGATTTCTTAAAAAGTTGAGATGATGGGACTGAGGTACCTCCTATATCACTTTGAGGATGCTCACTAAGAGCCCACCTGAGGCAGCCCTGCCAGCTGTTTCTCCTGTCATACATCCCCTAGCAAAAGGGTGAACCTGGCTGGTTTATATCCTGTTAACTCTTATGAGTGGAAGGGCAAATCAGATTGGAAACTCTTGCAGGTGTTGTCAGGGGAGTATCACAGAGGTGACTAAGTGATGCCGACTCTCAGATCTAGATTCAGTAATGGTCCTGTGACTTCAGTCTAGGCTCAAGGACTGTCAGGAGCACTAGACAAATGGGACTGTGATGCAAAAAAAAAATAAAGGGAAGACTCTAATAGATACAATGTATTAATGGTTAACAAAGTTTGATAGTTAAAATGATAATAAAAGAAAAATAAGAAATATTTCAAGTTTCAGACAACTGATGAATCTGTTCCTGGTTCTGGAAAAGGGAACAGTTATAAAGGCTACGTGGGGATACATTCAAACCTACAAAAACTCTTCACTACTCCCATTGTCTATGAAGAAACCCTATAAAAAAAACAAGGTTGAAGGTAGGATGGAAGTGTAATTCAGCCAGTGGCACAGATACTGATATTTGACCCAGGCTATATAGATGGCTGATGGTCCAGATCAGGTCTGATGAAAGGTAAGATCAGAGGTTTATATCATATGATAATGTCTAGCTCTGTTTATGACTCTAGTTGCTATCCAAACATGAGAGTGGAGACTCTAGTTATTTCTTATTTCATTAAAGATCTAAACACTAAGAAGCATCAAGAGCCTATATAGGAG